TTGATTTTTTCTGTCATGATCATTTGGAGAATCAGCAAATTCTCCAACTCGTGCAATCATCATGATAGCATGAACAAAATTAAGATATTTGGCTGAAAGTGAATATTCATTTTTACAATCATGTTCACGCAAAATAAGATAACCTCCTGGTCGAAGAATGCGAACAAGTTCGGTAAGCGTCTGTTTAATTTGAGATATATGATGAAATGTAACGAAAGAAGTTATAAGGTCAACATGATTAGAAGCTTAAAGAAAAAGAATAAAATTAAACAACCGAAAAAAAAGAATATAGACTCACGAAGATCAATAGTTGATTGATTTTCATTCACTTTAATAAATGTAATTGCCTTATTTTGTACTTCGTATACATCACCTCCGAAAATTGCTTCTTTAGTCAAACCTAAATAAGCTCCGATTCCAGCTGTAATATTTCCATCTCCACATCCTAAATCGAAGTAGGATTTGATCTTTTGTCGATCTATTATCTGTTGTAAACCGGTTGGTGTGACACGGAATGGATGGTTCGATGATTTATTATCACCATTGAACTCAAAGATAGCTTGAAGATCTTTGAGACGACGATTGATTCGAGAATTATCTTCCCATTTATCAAGTGACGTTTGGGCGTCTAGAAAGTAAATTTATTAGACTTGATAGGTTCTTTTTCTCTTTCTTTGATTCAATACGCACCATGTCGTTGTTTTGTCTCCTTAATTAATCGATTGAGTAGATCAAGTTCATCTAATTTATTTATGTGGTCCTTTAGTTGAGCAAAGATTCGATACATATGAACTCCCTGTCCGTAGATTCTACCGATATATGTTAATAAAGCCTTTTGATAGTTTGTACTCGACCATAATGATTGTTCAATCGACCATGAACACATCCAATCAGCAAATTCATCCTTCGTCTTAAGAATAGTCGATGTTTCTGGCTGTGAGACTTGTCGCTGTTTCCTAGGCTTATTATCAAGCAAGGGCGACTATAATGAAAAATATAAGAATTTGGTTTTTGCTTGAATAGAATTCAAGAATTTT